CCATTTCTAGCCTAATACTGGTGCATATCTACACTAATAAAAGATAAATATGCTAATTGACCATACCTTCGTTACGCCCACCAGCTAATCAGAAGAGTATGCAAATTAACCCAACAAAGATGGTGGTTAATTTGCATACACAGGCGCCCAGTGAAGACTGAAGACAGTGTAGAAGAAAGCCAAGCACTGCAGAAAGGAGCCAAGTGGCGTAGAAGGGAACAGATCAGAGGTAGCAGAGACGAGAGCAGAGCTGAGGCAGTGGACATAGGAGGAAGTGAAGTGGTGGGGAAGGGAGGGAGCTGAGGCAGTGGACATGGGAGGGAGCCGAGGCGGAGGGGAAGGGAGGAAGCGAAGCAGCAGACACAGGAGGAAGCGAGGCAGTGAAATAGGAAGGGAGTGAGGCAGTGGAGAAAGGAAGAAGTGAGGCAGCGGAGAAGGAAGGGAGCGAGGCAGCAGAGAAGGGGGGTAGCCAAGGCAGTGGAGAAGGGAGGGAGCGAAGTGGCAGAGGAGGGAGATAGCCAAGGCAGCAGAGAAGGGAGGGAGTCAAGGCGGCGGAGAAGGGAGAGAGCCGAGGCAGCGGAATAGGGAGGGAGCAAAGCGGTAGAGAAGGGAGGGAGCTGAGGTGGTGGATATGGGAGTGAAGCCTGCCTCGGTGGGCTTCGCTCCCTTCTCTGCTTTGCTCCAGTCTCAGGAAGCCCTATTCTTACAGGAAAAGGCCTGAGGAAGCCCTATTCTTCAGGAATCTTCCTGCAACGGGCCTCTAGTCCTATCTAATAAAAGAGAAACATGGTAATTAGCGTACGACCGCTACCCTTCCCATTGGCTAATCAGGGCGATATGCAAATTAACTGCCAGCCAAGATGGCGGTTAACCGCCAACAAATATGGCGGCTAATTTGCATATGTAGCCACAATGCTGGGAGGCGAAAGGGAAAGGACGGAAGAAGCCCCCTGCCACTGACGGTGATCGGAAACCCAGGGGGGAGCTAAGAGCCGGGGGCAGGGCGGCCCACAGGCGCCTTTGCCGCCCCGGCCAGTGATAGTGGGAAGCAGGGGTGGAGCCAGCAATGGGAGCTGGTCAGGGCAGTCCGGGGAGCTAGGGATCCCTTGCCCAGGCCGAAAGCCATGGCCAAAGACGTTAGGCCTGGGCAGGGGCGGA